AAAAGCCCCACAAACCCAAAGATAATCTCTGTAATGCTCCCAGATTCACCAAGCAAGTTCAGGAAGTGCCCATGGCTCAGTGTAGCTGAGTCTACCTCGTGCCTCTTCATGTATCATTAGAATCACTGCTAAAACATGCATGGGCTGACAGCAGAGAGAGAGGGTTAAGTAAGATACTGATTTCAAGAAATCATTGGCATTGTTTAGTAAAGGTTAGAGGCAGAACAAAAATAAGCCATCAAGCAATCAGCTGAAACATTCACTAGTTAAAACATTAAAAAGAAAATAATGTCTGAAGCTCAGGAAGTGAATTTGGTCTTTCAGGAAAGCCTGGCTGCTACAAAAGCACAATGAGTAAGAGCAGTCACTGGAGAGCATCACTCTCCCACGGGCAGCAGCAGCTGGCAGACTACACAATTCCTTGACTCTGCATCTTTTGCAAGGTAAGGCTCCTCCTGACCTACATGTGTCTCCCATGTTACACACTAATGCACTGCAATACATCTGTGTGCCTCAAATTACTGATGCTGGGAGCTCTGATGAGCACATGGATCAGCTGCAGGAGCTGTGCTGATCCCTGGTAATGGCACCTCCAGAGACAACAGCAGAACACCAGGGTTCTGGGTCCCTTCAGGCAGAAAAGAACCATCTTGGCAGGACAGCATACTCAAGATGAGGAATGAAGTCTCCCAGTGACTGGAATAGAAGGTGGAAAAAGGGCAACACACGGCCCTGTCTCTAAAATGCAAATTAGAACACTGCAAGAGAGCACGCCAAGAAGCCTTCACCTGGAAATATTCCTCTGCTCAAAACAGATTGCTTGCACACAGCTAGCTCAATGCTAGAAAACCAACAATGAGACATTCCAGAGAGCAGAGTCCTTACTGGAACATATTAAAAAAACACCCAAAAATAAAACTCCATAACCCAACAGGGGGAGACCATATTTCATTCCTTTATTTTAGAATGTGGCATTGTTCCTTTAACATCTACGAGTTCCCAGAACTACACTGGAAGGGAAAATCTGGGAACTTATTTGGGTGCCCAGCAGTAGGAAGCAGTTTCTAAAAATTCTTGACAGGTTCCAAAGACAGAGAAATTCAGATGATGATTTCACAGGCAGCATTGCTAATTTACACGCTTACTGCTGAACACAAGCTCAGCAGGATCTGTACCACACTGCACTTCTTCCTGGAGCTCTCCCCATTAGAAAGCACAGTGAAGTCTTTCTCTGAGCACAGACAGGTGGAACATCAGCCTCTTGCAGAAGCCAAGCACTAAGGAAAGCACTGCAAACAAAGGCTCAGAACAACGGGCTGGTAGGGCATATAATGCCCTCTGACAGCAGCAAAAACACCTCCTCTAGCTTCAACTGGCCATGGGCAAACAAGGGGAAAGAAACCTAAAGGAGGCAGGGGAGGAAAGAAGAGTTGTCCCACTTTTAAGACTATCACTTCTCTCCAGCCACTCCGGTTAATTCAATTACCTGAGCGTGCTTGGTGAAGAGTGCAATTATTCACAAGTGAGGGAACACTCCCAGGAGTCACCAGCTTCATCTTTGCAGAAGTGGGCAAAAAAGATTTAGGACTGTAATATTACTATAAAATCTCTACTATGCCATCTTCAAATAAGAGATGGCTTGGTGGATTTGCAGCAGACTGTATCCAGCAGTTTCCATGAGCCTACTCCACTCCGTTTTCTTTTTCCTTCTGGAAGGAGTCTTTGAACTGTTGAACAGGTAGCTAAGGCTGGAAAATCTTCTAGCCTAAAAGAAGCGTGTGTGTCTCTGTGTGTGTGTGTGTCTCTGTGTGTGTGTGTGCACACACGTGTTCCTCCCCCAACTTCTCATCTTGGATTTCCAGCCTTTCCATCACATAAACCTGTGAATAGTGACAACCAGGACACACAGCTGAATTTCAGATAATACCAATGTAAAAGCTCTTCATTAAAGGAGAAAGGTTCTCCAATCCACAGGGACAAATACTCTCTACAGAGCAACCCCAGCTACCTATGCCTACCTTATGGGAGGTACTGTCAACACAGCACCCAGCCAATACACAGGGTACCCTGTGTCCCACAGGAACCCTCAGAGAGCACCATCCAGCACTGTGCTAGCTCAGCTTTATTACACTGGATCTCTCCTCAAAGGGTACATGCGACATGAGGCAAAATCCTGTAGCCTGTCTCTGCTTCTACAAATGGTGAGAGACAGGGTAAAGGAGAGAGTGTGAGACACCCACCGTTTCATCAGTGCAGATGGAGTGTACTTGGGTCCCAAACATAACTGAGGTGAAGATGAGAAATAGGAGAGCCTCAAAACACAAGAGGATGAGTAGAATCACTGTAGTTGGTGGAGAGAAGGAACTACATTCTGTGAAGACAAAAGAATGGAGTTGTAAGGGTAGACATCAAGTAATGCACCTGCTGCAAAACACCCACTAAGCCATGAGTTTCCCATACCCAAACTATCAAATAAATTATATGAACAACATTCCCAGAAATACGCACAGGGAAGCTCCGACATTCAACCATAAAATGATCCCACCCTCAAATTAAAAAAAAAAAAAAGAAAAAGCCCTCCAAAACCCCTGCAACACTTCAAGACTGCAACTTTCTTTTCCACTTCGGTGTTTCCCCAGGACAACAACTAGGACACCATTCTCCTCCATTTCAATGCAGGTTCTCCCTTAAAGCTTAGACTTAACAGATTTTCCACAGTGATAAGTCCATTAAAAATCTCAAGTTGACAGTCAGGACACAAGCATATGTAGCACCAACATAAGACCAATGTGCTTCCTTTCGTAACTGTTTTAAGCCATAACTTAAAGAAGGTCAAATTAAACCAAGTTCCTATTTTTCCTCATACTCAATAGTGCAAACTCAAGCAAGAGCTGAAAAAAGAAACCCAAGAAGGTAATTAGAAAGGAGGAGCAGAAGAAAGTAATATTATACAGCCAAAGTCATAGTTGAATGCTGCAAAGTTACAGTTCAGTGCTGTAATTGCCAGAATGTCTCCAGATTTTTCCAAAATCTAAGACTCTGACCAAAAGCCTGTATTTTTCTAATCAGATACGAGACTTAAACAGATACACCATAATCAGGAGCTAACACTATCTGCACAAACACAAGGCAGCTGGAACAATATATCCATCTCTCCTAACAGCTCTGTTCTGCCACCAAAACCTGGGGCAGGTAGGAAAGTGTTTTCCCCACAGGAACAGGCTCTGAGAAAGGACATAAGGGAAACTACCCTTTGATGTCTCCTTCCCTTACAGCCCTGGTCCCTGCAGTCAAATGCAGATGTTCTCAGTGACAGCTGGCAGCTGTTTTACAAAGTTTTGAAGTGCAGAGGAACCTTTTCAAATTCAATTCATGTGTATCCTCTGCAGTACTATGAACTAAAACCAGTCATCATATTGAATAACACTACCAAAATTCCAAGGGAAAAAACCCTCCTCCTTTTAAAAAAATACTCACAAGCAGTACATACATGTGCACACACATTCTTTGACACCTTGCTGTTCAACTCAGCATTACATTGAGGATTTCCTATATCCATTTGTGGCTATAGGAACATACATAGACTGACTTTGTGAAAATGTACTCATTGAATTCAGAGTATGTACTCACAGCATTCAGAATGAATGCTGAGATTTTTGGTTTCGCTTTTTTGAGCTGCTTGGACTCTGTTTTGGTTTGTTGGGTTTATTTTTTTTCTGAGGAAAGGAATTGTTTGTTCTTTTAAGGGTGGATTTTTGGATCTGAGCAGCATGTTTTCCTGGCAGTCTTGCAAGAATGATTCACAGTACTCTTTTTAAAAAAGCATACACATTTTTCTTATCTTTTGCTGCCATTCAGGAAATTAGCACTGTGTTCATGTCAACAGTAGGTTATTGCACACATACTCCTTAGGTGTCTTTACATATCAGCTTTTTCCTAGGCGCTAGCAGACATAAATTAAAAGAGGACTTTTCAGGACAGAGATTCCAGCAGGTCAAAAAGAATTATAAGGGCCCAGGAATTATCATTAAACAGATTTAAAAAAAAATAGAGATGGCATAGCAGAACCTTGATAGCATTCTTCTGAAACAAGCCAACTGCATTTATCCTTACTCAAAGGATAATCTGTTATTTTAATAAGGTATTTTGTTTATACTCACTTGTCCAGTCTTCTTCAAAGCAGTACAAGAAGTGAAATCCCACCATGATTAGGGCATGCAGGGAAATCAGTGCTATATACATCTGAAAAATGAAAGATGTAATACAGGTACCAAGTGAGTTCATAGGCCAAAATGCTAAATCTTCCCAACACTTTATTTAAAAGCATAGTGATAGGATTTCAAAATAAACCCAAACCACAACACAACTCCAAAAATCATCAAGCTCTCCCATCTCCCCTGAAAAAGCACCGTGAAGCTGGCAAATGCCATGACTACACAGACTCATTCTCTCTTGCAAACAGCTCTGAGAGAACACAAGGCAGATTGCTGAATCCAACACCAGCTGGATCCAAAACCCAGCCTCCTGTGTCCCACAGTGGCCTTCCACACAGCTTACTGTCCTTACCTCAGCAGAGTACTGCATGACTTTCAGAGAGCAGTAACACTGATCAAGGTACCCTGTTGTCAAAGCTCTTGACAGCACTACAGTTTCCCAGAGAAACAAGTTATCTTGTTTTAACTAGAAAATGCACTTTATCTGTTTTCCAGTTTGAGGTTCAGAAAAATTATATGTTTTTTTAAGAAGTACTTTCTCCTGAGGCAGACACTGGCATGGAAAGTTTCTCTCAGGTTTTAATACTTTGTACTTAATAATTTTTGGTTTAAACCAGGTTTTAGCTTTGTAATAAAAACTGTATGTAACAAAAAGTTAGAGCAGAAGCTATGTGCAATATTACACATAGATTACAATTTACTAAGACAGTGCTAAAAAAGTTACTCTTCTGAACCTACAAACTCTGACAAAGATAGACAGGTAGCAGAAGTGAGAGAAACTTTGTAATAAGAAACACCTCTGGAAGCAGCAAAAGGCAATAAGGGAGCATTCTGGTTTTCCTTGCAAGTTGAGCCTGCTGCTGTTGTTTCACTTCCTCATGTGTCAAAAAGAAAATCCAAGAACAAAACCAGCAACTCTTATTTTGTTCATCTCAACTAAATTAAGCCTTAAATACAGTCTGCTTGAAAGTGGATATCAGGTTTTAATAGTAACTGAAATCCTTTTGAGAACACCTAGCTCACTTCTCAAGGTTAAAAAACCTGCTTGCTCATAGGAAAGAAACGGGATTAATTTTGTTCTGTAATCCACATCCTTGCAGACCACTTCATAGAACACTAAGCCTGTCATTCAACTGAAAATCTCCTTTCTGCTTGGTAATACGATAATATACTTCCTCAAACCTACAGATATCTCAGAAGATTTATTAATAAAACAGAGCATCACTGAGACTCAGCCTTGTAATGTTCACACTACTCCCACAGGATATTTGCAGTTCACTTCGATGAAACACATTTCAAACCTTCCAAAAATATCCACTGTTCAAGTTTATACTCCTGTTGTCTTACTCATTATGCTACAGATATAGTACAAAAAGTCAAGCACCTCCTTGGTTTTCGAGTACAAAAATAAACCACTTGCAATTAAAAGGTGGAAAATTCTTATCCAAGGAGATGCAGGCTTCCCACTCCTTCTTTTAGATGTGGCAACAGCTCTTATTACGTGATCCCACACAGACACTCACACAACTATAATGTTTAGAAACCCTGCATATGGCCTGGGACCCTACCAGCCACTGTTTGATGTAAAAGGATGGCCCCTCACTCAAAGAGCTCATCACCACAATACACTACTCGCATTACAAAATAGGTGCTGAACGACCATCAGTACAAACCTCAAAACGCCCTGACAAAAGCTTCCTGTGGTGCCTTTTCCCATTGCTGTGGATGGATGGAGGTGGGGGCCGGTTGTTCCCTAATTAGTGAAACAGAAGGCTGCAGCAGGTCCCCATAAAGTTCTTCCAAAATATGAAGGAAGAGAACACCAGCCCTGGAAGTGCTTCACAGACTATGCACTGCATTTCAGCACTTCCCACTGGACAACCTCAAACATCACCTGCAAAATACTTACTGTAAACAGTACAAAGTACTTCTGGTTATTCTCTCCTACACAGTTATTGACCCACGGGCAGTGATGGTCCATTTTCCGAATGCACCTCTTGCAAACACTGAAAGAACATAGGTCTTCATTAACGGCACTTTTCACTCCAAGAACACAAAATTTTACAGGGGTTTGGGGGACAAAGAAATTCAGCTAAAGAATCAGGGGTGAAATCTGAACATAAAAGAATTTACTTGCCATCATATTTATATTTGTGGTTTGCTTACTTGACTAAGCCTATTCAAAATGAACAACATACAATACCAAACCACCGTTGCAAAAATTAATGCCACACACCAGTGGTTCTTTCCAAAATATGGTTTGAACAATACATTTGGACAGACGGAAAAAATCTGTGTTTAGTTTTAATCTATTTGGCCTGCAAAAATGTCTATAGATTAAAACTAAACATAAATCACAAAGACACAAAAGGTAGTAATGAATAAAGATACTTCTCAGAGTTGCTGACAACAGATTCAGATTTATTTGCCAACATTTGCTAGTAGCAGGAACTTGCAATCAAATAAGGCATTAGAAAAATTCTTGACATCAAGGTAAGCCACATACTAGCAGAAAATAGCTGTGGCAGTCAGTCAGGAACATGGTACTACAATACACATTCAAGGTGAAATTAGGTCTTAAAGTACTTCACAAAACCAGACTAATGAAATCAAAATTCAAATTCTTGCCAGCGTGCAAACTGTGGCTGGAAGTAAAAGAATTAAAACATTATTATGTTATATATTACTCTGAACATCATTCTCTTGCTTAGTCAGTAACTGCTTCAGCACACATAATAAAGGAAGTCTTTTTCTCTGCTGCTTTCTCATGGGATAGGAGACGAAAGGCAGTCAGTCTCCTGATACCACATTGTACAAACAAGCACAGAAATCAAATATGAAAAAACACAAAACCCCAAAGCAAACAAACAATAGACCTAGAAAGGAAACAGCCATTCCAGAACAATTCTGGCAGCAATGAAACAGAAAGGGCTAAGCGCTCTGCTAATTTTATTTTTATTCTTATAACAAAAAACATCTTGACCTTAATAAAAATAATAAACTTCAACACCCAAACACTAAGGGAAACTCAAATGAAAACATAAATATGTTCTTATCAGCATGTATGAATAAATAATAGAAAATCTCTCTGTCAGAACAGCCTTTCACTCACTTTAATTGGTGGGAGAGCATAATCCCCAAGGATACATGCTATGCCTGAAAAACAAATTAGTTGCTATAGGCCTGATCCTAAATGGAAGTCTAGGCAGGCAGATCAGGAGCTCCTTCTCCTTAGGCAGACATGGGTACCCTATCACCTGTCAGTCCCATGTGTAGTGGGAAAGAAGAAAAGCCTTGTTTTGCTAGAACAAGAAGCTTAAAATTATTTGGAGCCACATGGGGTTTAAAATCAGCAGGCACAGTAAAAGAAATTTATCTTCCAGGTAATGTACTTTGTAGGACAAGTATTTCTCATTGTGATTAAAAAAAAAGGAAGGGGTAAGGTGAGGAAGATGGTGAAAGAGGAGGATGCCTCCCTGTGTGCAGGATTGCACACACTTCCCTTGGGCTTTAGGAGAGGTGAGCACCCAAGCAACACTCCAACTGCTCCTGCTTCCCCAGACAGACAACCTGGAGCAGCCAAGCCACAGATGTGAAAGAGACAGGAGAGGAGGGTGGGAGGGGAGTTTTATTCCATGCACACATACCAAAATCAGTTGGATGAAAGGCAGAACAGGAAGCTAGCCGATGGAAAAGGAAACACAGAAACCACAACTAAACACTACAGGGAGCAGGGATTGCCCATACTCAACACTTCCCCCATTCAACCACCCAACTTCCAAATGCTGGCAGGACTAGCTTACTGGATACAGGGGACTCACTAAATAGCACTTTCATCAAAAAAACACCCTTGTACCTCTGGCATACAGCTAGCAGTATCTCTTGCTGATGCATATGCTCAACCTTGGTGTCTTAAAAGTCTAATAAATCTCCTAGGCCACAAAAAAAAAAACTGTCTGACTGAAAATTCTCAATAGCATCACTGGTCAGTGGATCACCTTCCCAAATCTTAATGTCTAAGAACTTATCTTAAAGGACAGAATAAAGTACCATGGTGACAAGGCTTTGTGTTTAGCCAGAGGCCTTTTCATTTACCTATACTGTGAGTCATCATCCAAACAGCATTTTAGATGTGAAGTTTCATTCATAATTGAAAAGCTGTCACAGGGGATTTTACAGCAGCATTAATAAGTGATAGGCATGACCACATTGCTCCTGCTGAATAACTGACTCCCAGTTTTCATTAAAATTAAAAAAAACCCAAAAACAACAACAAAAAAAGAAAAACATTTGCAAACAGAAGCTATGAAAACAAATATGAAAAAAGCAAACAGCAGGACAAGTTTGCTCAGCTCATTACCATGTACTTCCCTCCCCACAAGACCACTGCATGAATCAGCACTAGCCCAGGTAAGAGTTCTCTCTGTATGTATTAGTTTTTGAGTAGGCAACGAAGTGACACCAGTGCAAACTTATTAACTACTTACTGGAAAGCAGGTTCACTTGCTTTAAAAGCAGAAGAGAATTTTAGGAAGTAGTTATTTTTTTGCTCACTGCCTTTAGTACTAAAAAGCTCACTACCAGTTACTCTCTTCCAGGAAGTTTATCCTACCAGAAAAAAAAAGGACATGACAGATCAGTAGGCATACTGATCTATCACACAGCACAAAACAAAGTCACAATACTCAATGAAAATGTGGAAGTCTGAACTCTTAAAAAAATATACAGCTACCTGCACTTCAGTTTTAACTTAAATATCACTTCTAAATAGAATACAGTTAGACAAATGGGTTTGTGAATTAAAAACAAAGGAAAAGACACTGACCCTTTGGGAGACGTTTTATGGATTTCTATGCATTTTGTGATAGAATGTCTCTTTTCAAGTCATGTTTACTTGAAAATTTATAGAATGTCAGTTAGAAGTCTGGAACCAAGGCAGCATTCAAAAATTTTAAGCGTTTCTTACTTTGCACAAAGTAGCCCCAGCCTCCTATATATGAAAATTTGTCAGAAAAGGTATGAGATTTGTTCTGAGAAGCTTAAATGTGTCTGGTACTACTGGCAACAGAATTTGTATGTCAATCCCTCCACTGACCCACTCCAGCCTCAGACTGCAATAACAAGGTACACTGGTGAATAATTCTTCAGGTCTTGGTGAAACAGCCATCCTCAGAACAGACTTTACCTGCAGTGATGTGCTCTGTCAGGTTTGATGCTACAACACTTTGGGCACTTGTAAACCACCTGTCCTGGTTTTAGCTGTAAACTCTCGATGAACTCTTTTGTGGCATTACCTTTGGGTACAGCACCCTGCAGGAAAAAAAAAAAACAAACCAGGAGATTAACTTCTGGACATTATGGCTGCTAAGAACAACAAGGTGACTTAAAACTATGGGAGGGGCAGAAAGAAGAAGAAATAAAAGCTTCCCTAAGATCAATAGAGTTTCAAGAAGAACAAGAAGATTCAGAAAAGAAATTTAAATGTGGTCTTAAAATATGGAACCACATACTTACACTTAATTTTGGTGGGGCTTTTGTTGTTTTTTTTAAACATCAATAAACCTCCACTTAAGAAATTAGTCTTTTGTAGTCCCATAGTAACCTTTAAATATTTAAGAATCCTCATCCCTCTTTTCACATCAACAAATTTATCATGTCAGTGTTTCATATCACACACTGAAAACTGCAGATGTTTTATGCCAGTAGAAGCAGCTTCTTTAGCAGTATTGTGTACACTAGGAGTTGCTGGTAAATAACTTATGTAGTTATAGTTATGCTTCCATTGTGTATTTGCTATTTAAACTGGGGTTTAACGTTCAAACAGTGAACACTAAGAATTGTCACATCTGAATAAGACCAGGTAAAACATTCTTAGCTGTGCAACTTCCACTTTAAAGTATATCTTTAAATAGGTAGCATATTGCTGCCATAGGAGCCCAAGTTCTTGAGTTTCCAGTCTTTATAGGGACAAAAAAAATAAACAAACAAAAAACCAAAAACCAACAAACAAACCAAAGAAACTCCCTCTGCTCCAAGAAAAAAAGAAAAAAGTGCCATGAAACATGGTGTATGAAATCATTGCTGGTACATTGGCACAATTTACTTCTGTGAATTTAAGGCTTTTTTAATTGAAATAAAACCAGAGATGCAATATTTCAATAGATTTCTGATGGAAGAGTCTCTTTTCAATATCTACAACATCCTAACAGCAATAAACAGGAGTGATACACGAGTGAGAGAACTACACATTAAACCAGTAGTATTGGGCTTTTTTAAGCAATCTTTGGGGAGTTTTCCCAATAGGCCTAATTTAAAAATTACCAAAACCAATTTCCACAAAATTGCTACAACTCATGTTCTCTCTCTTAAGTATGCAGCAAAGCTCAAAACTTTAGGAATGTTCTTAGCAAGGACCCATTGGAAGCAGTTCCTGAAATGCAGAACACACACTATCAATTGTGAAGAACTGAGTTGTTCATTTATTTATAATAAGAATTCTGCTTGTTTGCCTCAGCAGTGCTTTTTGTTTCATTCTCATCTTACATATGCCCCTAGCTCCCCATGTCCTGGAAGCTTCCTTAATCCCAGACTCACTGCCTGCCAGATGTTAGTGCATCCCTTCTCTGTAGCTTCCTTCATGCATTTTTATTTAACTGAATTCCTCATTACAAAAATGAAACAAAATCCCACTGGCTCTCCATCCACATACATAAATCCCACCTCACACAAGGAATTAATATATATTTTCCCAATTACTCTCAACAGAAATTGTATCTGCATATACAACCCTGCTCCAACTAGCACATTTCAAAATACAGATTTTGTTTCACAAGAGCTGCTGCTAACTCTGCAAAATAATTCCAGCCACCTGAAGGTCCCTAAGCACAAAAATCACACAACATACAATAATTAACAACCACCCTTAGGATACAAACTATCTAACAAACCGCTGCAACCCTCTATTTCCGAGTCCAGTGATCAGAAGTTTCAGAGGCTAATGTACTGCTTATATTTCTGCCCAGCAGCAGTAGCATGCAATTCAATAGTCTTCACCACAAACTGTGAGAATACCCCAAATCAAGCCATTTCTGCAGTGCTGAGGCTTCTGGAAGAGCTGGAATCTAAGAAACACAGATTACACCGAAGTCTTAACTGCACCTAAAAAGGTTACAAGGGGAAAATAACATTTGGAAGGGGCAGAGTTACCAGAGGCACACCACCACTCCAAACAGCAGCAACATTTGTGAGGAAGGAGACAGGAGAAGTCTAAGCTTGTCTTTCCTTCCACTGACTACTGGAGATAGGGTTTTGAACTGAGCATACTGTCCAGAGGTTATTAAGTAAAATAAACCATCACAGCCATTCAGAATTAGCATCAGGGTGCTAAACTTTATCTTGTCACAAACTGAAAGATGAGAAAGCAGCAGATATGATCTCTCAAAGCAATGTCCTAAGGATATATACAAGGGGATCTCACAAGTCTGATGCTTCCCAACTTGCCTAAGAACTGCCATCTCTTAGCATGCTCAGACCGTATTTATTTCAGCTTGTCCAATACACTCAACAAAATCAGTAGAATGAAAGATGGTAACACAGCTTTTCAAAACAACACATATTCTGCTCTGTTCTGCTGAAGCAATACTTGCCAAGGCAGACAACCAAAACCAGCTTTTCCAGCTTTCCTGTTTGTCAAGACACAACAAGCCACAAACACAAGATCTGCCACTGGGGAGAAAACAGCATCAGAGAGAAACACTCTCCTTCCCAGTGCAGGAAGATGAGCTGCTCACACACCAGGAATCTAATGCTGGGTCCTTAATTTTGCATCCGACTTGAGTGGGACAAAAAATTAGCATACCACATCAGCAGCCTCACTCAGCAGGCTGACACACAAAAGTTATTTAAATCTGCCACTCACTCAGCAACTGATTTACCCAACACCTAGCAGACAAGAAAAGCACCGCCTGTTTCTTTCCGAGACACACAGAGATTGGTGTATACTTACTGGATCTGTCAGCATAGCACGAAAATGTGACGCCAAAGCGAGGAAAGCCAAGGTGTTGAACAGTGTGCCATTGATGACACTATAAACATAATCTCTCGATGGAACTAGCATGACAAGAAGGACTACAAAGTCGGCATAGAACACCAGCATCCAGGTAACGACAGCACATGCAATACCACAGCCATCTCGAATAAACCACATTGTTCCCAGGGAAGCGCGGCTAGGAGGTGGAACACACTTTTCCGGCTGGAGGTATTCAGGTGTCCTTTCAATATCTCTGAAGCGGTGGACTGGAGAAATCATCATAGGCTATTATGTCCATACTTGCATCTGAAAGAGAGTCAGAAACAGTGCTCACTGCTCTACCAGACACCCAGACCTCTGTTCACATAACTGCATGGTCATCGCATGGGAAAAGTGCAGAAAGTGAAATGAAAAAGCAAAAAAGGTAAATAAATCAAACACAAAATAATGGATTGAGAAACCACACTCTTGCACTTATCGGAACACTCCTTACTCAGAAGACTCTAAGTGCTTTTAAGAAGTGCTTAATTACACACTAGGTCTACCTGTGTGCCACCTCCACCTCCCTAAGTGGAAAGGCAACAAGTATTTTAATGAAGAAAAAGTCATCAGGTAGGAGCCAACAGGTGCGGCCACAACAGGAACTGAAGCAAGAACTTGGCACCACCACTGTCACTTTGAGGGGAAGAAAAGAAAGTCCTGTCACACCTGGCAGGGTCCCTTTTTGCTGCTTCGTATTTGGGGACGGGAAGGGTCTTTCCTACACATACTGGGAAACTAAGCAAGCGGAAGAGGATTCCTTTCTCCTTACCCACTGACTCCCAGTTTTGGGGTAAAAGTGCAAAAACAAACAGCTGTGCAGTCACATTTGCAGGAACTGATTAAGACACAACCCAGAAAAGATCTTGACAGGAACTTCTAGTCTTGGCTGGAGGACGTAATTTCCCAACAACAGCTGTCCCCCACTCTCACCTCCTCCTCTGGCCTTACAACCCCTGGAAGTTTTCTGCTTTACCATGCCTCTCCCGCCACCTTTGCTCCATCCCTCAATGGCATTTGTTTTGCTTCCCATTTTCCAGTCAACTCCACTCTACTGTAGCAAGAGGACCAACACTGCCCCTGTCCTCTCCTCCCCAGCTCTGCAGACACCATGTCTATCCAGAGAGGAAGAGCCATCTTGTAACCAGGAACAGTAAGGCTCCACATATGCACCATGCTTGTGTTTCTATGTAACTCTGACCAAATGCAGGCATTAGAGAAAACAGAGAAGGTGCTCCTAAGTCTTTGGCAAGGCATCAATCCATCTGCACTCAATCCATCCACCACTCAATGCTGGAGCACACCTGGAATGCTACGCTTTGAAAGTAGCTCTTTACACACCCAGCAAACTCTTCCAAACAACTTCTACTCAGAGTATTTGCTCAGTGCTCTAAAAGCTTCATAACACTACACACCCTCTAAAAACCCACCTTCTACAAAAATGATTACAATAATTCCACTACCAAATGCACTGAATCACAGATCCCTGAATGGAAGGTATCAGCCTCCTGCTATTTCCAAATGTAAGGCTTATTCTCATGGCTTTGCAAAACAAATGTTCATTATGCCATTTAAATTCAGAGAAAATGTTCACCACCAATTATGCCTTCAGCCAAGAAAGTTCACCCTAAAGCTATTTTTGTCATTAATTGTTTAAAAATTGACATATTTTACATAAAACATAGTGAGAGAATTGCAGAAATCCCAAGGACTTAAAACTTTTCTCCAGGTTCTGTGGCTAAGTTCTACCAAGTACAAGAAGAAAGCTCTACTCCTCCTAACACCAATCTAAATGGAGATGCCGCTGCCCCTATCTCAACAGGGAAGGAAATGATAGTTTACTTTTCAGCTGTTATTATAAGAAGACCAAATTCATAAAAAGACAATTATTCTTTCATGGCTAAAGAATAAGGTTATTAATGAGCAGGATGATTAACTACATCCAAGCACAGAAATGATGAGCTTTGTGCGCTTGAGTGCGAGTGACACGAACAGAGGTACTGGAACTGCTGAGAAGCAAAAGCCAGAAGCACAAACTTCCTAAGTGCACAGAAGCTGATGAACCAGACAATTTACAGTATTTGTTTTCCAACACAGCTTGTACAAATAAACTAGGAGAATTAAGTATTTTCTTATCTTTCCACTTTGAACATTTAGTATGCTGCCAAACAAGCTTAAGATGGTTTATGAATCTGAAGAGAGTCACGTGGATTAATGTTAAAGCATATCAGTCTTGTACTTATACACACATCACACAAACCAGAAATATCAAGATGAAAATGTCCTTGTGAGGATGTCATTTACTTTGAGAAGAAAAAAGCCCACAACAAAAAACCCACTCCTCATTCACAAAATTCACATAACACATTGTAATTACTCTGTATTTTAACCACAGCTATAATTTAGCCTCATGATTCCTGATATTTAGAAAGACAAGCTATGTAATTTTTGTAAACAGTGATTACCCAAACAATGTGGCAGTCTAAGTTCAAATAAGTCTATACATACTAGTAGATGCATACCTTTTCTCCTGTTTTTCACAACTGCTATAAGGACAACTATGTATTCAAACATTCACACAGACTTCATAAGTATTTCTAAGACTTAGCTCTTCCACGCCCTCAAGGAAACAGGTTAACCTTCATGGCATTGTTTAATAAGCTTATTACAACTGCTATGCTTGTTTGCCAGCTCAAAATAAAACTGACATAATTAAAGACTCACACCTGACAACAGCGTTTAATTGACAAGAACATCACACTACATTAAAAAGTAAGAAAGAAAACTGTAATTTAGGTGTTCAACTTGCAATTGAAAGTTTACACTTGACACATCAGGTGCAGTAACAAGCTGGGACAGTCCTGAAAACAGACTCTCAGGACTTTTTGCCTAGACTCTGTGCCTTTTTTTCTCCCCTATGGTTTTGTATCCCAAAGCAAAGGAATCAAACAGTCACGGGAAAAGCAAACTCCTATTTAACAAAGGAATCAGTCTGACAAGTCACCTTAAGGTCAGTATTAGCAAAGACTGACTGAAAGCTGAACAAATACACAGTGATTAAGCTGTGGGTTTAGTCCTGAACAGCACACTTCAGCAGTGAAATAAAACTTAATCTCTCTCGGAAGTGCAGGAAGTTGTTTCACTCCAATAAAAGTTCTACAGCTCTCTCTGAGAAATATTATTGAGCTAAACTGGAGAAAAAAAAAGAAAAATCTATTGCTGTAACTGTCCAAAGAGAAACTGGAAGGAGCCCTGATGTCATCTCAGTTTAAAGTCTGGAGACTCATTTGTGTAATGAGTTAAGAGGACAGAGCACAGGCCCCTAAACATGGCTAGAAGACAATTATGTTATTTAATGTATTCTGCCATTTAATGCTTACTTTAGAGGCCTCATTAGGCAACAAAATAAATCAGTACATAAACACCATACATTGTTCAAGAAATACATATGTGTTTTACTGTTCATTATCTTAAGAGTCAAGCTATAGGAGCTTAAAATCTCAGCTTCTCTCCTACATGACCCAGTTAGTGAGGTTTTTTAATTCCTTGTTCTTATATACACAAACATCTGTTTTGGTTTATGTTGTCCAGTTTGGTATCTTCAGATAAGCAATACAACAACAAAGAAAAGGTTGTAGCAGGGTGGAAGCAGTAACTTGCCCCTTACTGGTTTGCCTTTCAATCATGCTGCATATGAACTTAATTTATAATACAGATGGAATATGTCAGCTCCTCCTGCTCTAGAGCAAACAATACATAAACAATGTAGGCAAAGGGCTTAAGGACTTAATCTCAGTGTCGGGCCACAAGAAAGGCCACTAGGTAAGTGTGAGATACAATGAAAACACACGCATCAATTCAGCTTAATGACATGACAGAGCAAAGACTTTTTTTTTTATCTGGGGGCAATTGGCAATATAGGAACAGTCAAAAAACATGTACTAAATGAATTAGAAATTTAAACAAAAATGAAAATCCACTTCCTGCTAGAATGAACACTTAAAATATGCTATTACACCCTATATCAACTGTCTTTTTACCTGCCATAAGCCATGTCAAAAATATCTGGTTTTTAATGGCCTGTGACAGCCAAAGAATTTGCTAAGAATGTATAAACAAATTATGCGGGCCTTCACCCAGTAAGTGCCTGAAAGCTACATGAGGTTCTTATGTAAAATTTACAGCAAGCTTAAAACCACCATCATTGTGAACCTGCTGATTTTCATGTAATTATTCATGTCAGTGAAGTCAAGCACATGGGTATGACTTGCAGAACTATAGTATTACTACCTACATTGCAACCATTTCCTCTATTACAAGTCCATTAACACTGAACTCTGCGAAGAGGTCACATTTTCATTCTGTCATATGAACTAGGCGAATTTCAAGTTCTGCCAACTACATGAAAACAATAGTGGGGGAAGAAATGAATAAAAAGAACAGAGATCAGGGCAGATCACGGACCTTTTTTAGGTTTTCAGTTTGTTATTTACTTTGAAGAAATACTTCCAAACAGCTTTTATGACACACAGAGTACCTTGAGAGCTGACAAACAACACTAAAGTTAATTTTTTTTATCATCAAAATGAAGCAGACATACATAACTAATCATACTATATTCACATCAGCTAAGGCAGGCAATCTAGATCCACAGGACAGTGTCCTTTTAAACAAAATCAGTCAGCTCCAGACAGACAGAAACTGCAGAATTCATTTTTAAGTTTATTTCATTTTTTTCTGCACATAAAACTGCATAGATTAAAACACTGCTTATTTAATCCTCCTTTGCAAGAGACATAAGAGAAGGTGAGCTTCCTAACTAAAAGGGTTTTTATCTATGCTTCCCCTGCCACACTTCCATGCAGCCAAAACCTAACAAGCTTGTGAAAACTTGAAAAAGCAGAGATAATAAAAAAAATCAGTATTTATATGTACTTTCCCAATGGCTCCTGCAAGGCCTAAAAACTTTATCTGATCTCAGGAGTGCAACAAAACAGACCAGCTATGCTGAGAATTTCTGGCAGTCTCCTGCAGATTCATCCAGATATCCATCGGCATGGCAGTTTTCAGCCTCTGGTTTACAAAAACCTGGAGGGTCAGTGGGACACTTCTAACAGGTCTGAAAAAGGCAGCTAAAAAAAGCAAACCTATTATTAGCAGGCTCAAATTTGCTACAGAGAGCCATACTTCCATTGGAATACTTGCAGGACTCCACACATGGTTAAAAATACCAAACAAACAACAAACAAAACAAACCCAACCCAAAT